TCGGGGGGGGGGGGAGGGCGGGTGTGAGTGGGTGAGCGCGTCAGGACCCTGCAACGTGAGCCCCCTCTCAGTGTCACCTAAGGGCAGCCGCGCACATCTCTGCACAAATCAATGACTCCAGACCTTAGTATTCCCCTCCTCTCCCTCTATACCCCCGTCCCTGTCCCTTGCAGACTTGCCCTTTCCCGGTGAGCTCATATTTAATTACCTTAATGTTGGAATGAATAAATAATGGGTTGATGAATAGCTTATGGAACGCGATAAATAATACAAGATCAGAGCAGGGCTCCGGGCTGCAGACTCTGGAAGAGCGGCTTCTCCCCGGCTGACTTCAGTTCTAGGAGCCTAATTCCCTCTACCATTCTTCCTTTGCCCCCACTGCCCTCCAAAGGGCACAAGTATTCCCAGCTGGATAGCGCTTCCCTCGTTTTCAAAAGGCCACGACTATTTGGGACCTTGGGAAGAGCTGTTGACAGCATTGTTGCTGAGCAAATAAAGATTCTGAGGGTTCATTTGTGATTTGGTATCTTAACGTTCTATGGTTTGAGCCGGCAGGCTTCTGGACTCAGTTTCCCCATCTGCGCCGTTGCGTTTTCCGAGGCCACCTCTGCTACTGAGGAATGCCCAGAAGCTTTACTTGCTATTAGCAAAAATGCTTTGGGAACCTCGTACGAAAGGCGCTGGATGGGGTGTAAATTAAATAAAACTGTGTCCGGCTCCAATAGCTGTCTGATTGTAACCTAATCCTTGCCCTGCTCTGAGAGGGACACTGCCCTCAGAGCCAGGACGACAGCGGCTCCAAGAAGATTAAATAAAGAGGGGTGTGTGTGTGTGTGTGTGTGTGTGTGTGTGTGTGTGTGTGTAGATTGCAATGCTGGCCTATTTTACTGCGATAGAATGAGAGATGTCCTGCAATTTCAGCCCCATCATCTGTTATTTTGTGTATATGTGGAGAATGTTTAGTAAAACTGCACAAACAAATAAAGCTGTAATTATCTTAAGCCTCATTTGCACACCTTGTTCCAAAGCAATTATTAAAAAGATTTTGAAAACAATTAGCGTCTCTAAACAAAGATAATCTATTGTCAGTAGCTGAGACTGGCAGGAGATAAGAACAATGCTGGGAGATAAGGAGAGCAGAATGGTAGAAGGAGAGTGACTTTATAACTATACTTATCTCTGATTAGATAAGTTCAAAACAGAATTTTAAGTACACTTCAAAAATGCTTTTGATTTAAATGCACCCTCTTAGTGAATGCGAAGGACAGACTCTAGGCTCTTTAAACTGGCTTGTCTTCTTTAAATATGTTTTGAGTCCACGAGCCAGAGCCCAGCTCCACAGAACCATTTACATATTGAGACATAAGTGGGAGAAGGAACACTGCGGAAGTTTCCCCCTATATAATGTATATGGTTTTAAAATAATGTGCCCAGTTCAGTGCACCCTGCAATATATATATTTTAAACTCATGAAGCGTTTCACCCTCCTGGCTGTCTCTCCAGAGATTCGGAGTAGAGAGAAGCTGCTTCTCCCCCAAACTCCCACACACAATGCATTTTGCATCCTTAAAAGTCTGCAGTATCCTGTGCAATTAGACGTTGGAAATAGATGCTGATATTTCATTACCTTTAGGGTTATTTTTTAAATGCATTTAATGGGTGCATAGTATTTCAAAAGAGCCCCTACCACATGGTGTGCCCAATGACTTACTTTCTAAACTGGAAGCCTGGCACGCCTGAGCCCAAGCCCATGTGTCTGGTAATTTTCCCTCGCCGTCTTATTTTAGTGCTCATGATGTTTCAGATGAAGCCTTAAGGAGCTGCAGTGTCCTGCCAGAAGGAACGTCTCTGCTTGGAATAGTCCTTATTGACATGGCAGCTGTGTGAAGACCGGAACGGAGGTTTAAACTCCGCTCTAAAAATCAGTTAATACCCTCAAGTCTGGAGCAAGTGCGCAGAATTAAAATGTGTGTGTAGGGGGTGGCGGGTCTGTAAGTACAGCCGCCTGTCTTTGAAGACAAACGGTAAGTTGAGTGTGGGGTGGACTTCATAATTAACAATTTTGTGTAAGGAAATGAGGCATAGCTTGGACAAATAAGGGCAGGTATAAATTTACAGGGGAGGATGAGGAGCAGAAAGGCGGCAATTAGACACCAATATGACCACCTTTTTCCCCCGCTTCCTCCAGACCTCTCTGCCCACTTCTTTTCATCTTTCTTCAAAAGGAACAAAGACGCGATAGACGTTGGCGACGACTGGGGAGACGACTGTGTGGGTGCCGCGATTGCGGGCACCGGGGTTGATGAGCTGTGGTGCTAGTCCTCAGAGGCCGCGCTCGGGCCAGCCAGCATTTCTCCTTGCGTTTAATCCAATAGATCGCGTAACTAGAAAGGAGAAGTGCTATTCGCTTTGCACCAATGAGCCTACCTGCTATTTCGATCCCATGGTTAGGGAAACCAATTGTTATAAATGTTAATTGTTGGCTCGGATATATAAGGTTTCCCAAAATGGAGCCTTTCAGTGAAAACCACTAAGAGAGGTAAAATGACATGAATTTACAAACCACATAAACCAAATGATCCATTTTAAATCGCACACAGAAAGGTTTGAGTTGTTCTAGTAACTTAAAACCTTTGCTGTCAATGCAAATCACACGAAAAACAGAGATGCGTCGGAGATTTAAAGGGAACGAGCAACTATAGCCTCTGCCCTTGCTGCTTCTCGGCGGCTCCCGAGGGTAACGCGGGTGGCGAGGGGAGCCCGACGCCAGGTTTCGGCGCTTCTGTGCCTCCTCTGTGCAGGTAACCGCCACGCGCGCACAACTGGTTTATGGAAAAGGCCAATGCACTAGTTGCTGGTGGGGTTTCTCGGCGGGATCGATATAAGGCCTCAGCTCAAAAATTTCTGTGTGGAACCCACTTGTTTCTCTTATGGCTTGGAGAGAGATGTACTGGGTCTCCCGGCCCTGCTTTCTCGGAATTCCTTTGCCTTCAAGAACCACAGCGGGGATCCTACTCTACCTACAGATACTTGGAAGGAAAGAGCATCGAGAGGTGCTTCTTCAATAAATTAGCGTCGTCGCTCTAGGGCGGCGAGGAGACTCCCCAAATCCTGGCTGAAGTGACAACATTCATCTTTTTTCTCCGCTTGGTCGGAAACTCCGGGTGCCCTCGACCCTTGGGATCCCGGGATCCGACGGCCAGCGCGGCGCCGCGGCGGGAGAAGCCGCCCACCTGCCTCCTGGGGGGACGCTGCTCCCCGCGAGGTCTGAATAGGCCGAGGGCTCAGGCAGGGAGATTTGCGGACCCCGAGAAGAGAAACTCAAAACCAGTCCATTAGTAAATGAGTTTTGTGTTGTCAAGGTTCTTTCCCATCCACTTGCTGTTCTGAAAAATAGATCACGTTTCGTTATCTTTAGTGGGAATCTGCAACGTGACACCGGATCCGCGCGGCCCCCGCCTCTCTGCCTCCCTCCCTTCCAGGCTCGTTCGGCGGGGCCAAGGGGAGCCGGTCGGCCTCCTCGGCTTGTTCCCGAACAATGAAGATTTGTCTGTTCCCCTAATATATTTATATATGTAAGGAGGGAGAGAGTTTTCTCCTGGAAGCGGGAAGCCGCGAGTGGAGCCTCCCGCTTCCTTGGTGAGAAAACCCAGCGCCAGCCCACGACGCCGGGAGACCGCCGCCCCCCGCCCACACCTGGACAAACAGAGCGGGCTTCGAGCCCGGCTTGCTGCTAAAAACCCTGCCGCCCCGCGCGGCTCCTGGAAATACAGGCTCCGCATTGTCCCGGGGTCGGGGAAAGGAAAGAGAGAAAGGCTAGTACTGAGAGACAGCGCTTCGAGGGAAGTCAGATTGGAGGACAGAGCTGGGGTGTGTGCCTGGGGGTTTACCGGCCCCTCTGTGTGCATCCCCCTCCGCGTCTGCGCTCTCTCGGTCTCTCTAACTTATTGTCTCTTTTCGATCTGGAAGAGGAAACTCGTTTATTTTGTGTGCCAACCTGGTCTATCATTTCTCTTTCATTCTCTTTCCTCTGCCCCATCCTCTCTCCCTCTTTCCCTCACTCTCATTCTCCTTGTCTCTTGTTTCTCTCTGTCTCTGTCTCTCTGTGTGTGTGTGTGTCTCTCTCTCTCTCTCTCACACAGACACACACACACACACACACACACACACACACACACACACACACCCTTCTGGATCTCTTTCTTTCTCTCTCTCCGGTTCCCCTCCCTTCCGCAAGGCTCGGGGCGCCTGCGCCTGTCTCCTACTGCCGCGGACCTGAGGTTTCACAGACAGAGGGTGCTGGCGCAGGGCGAGTGAACTCTCAAGTCTGGGCAGGGGCGTCGAGCTCAGCCTGCAGACGAGCTACGCTGAGTGGTGGCATGGTCAAAAGGTGGGAGAGCCGGTGGGTAGGGCGGGAGAAGTGGGTTGGCCACCTGGAGGACAGGGGCCGACTTTAGCTCAGTTCTGAGAAGGCTGTGGCTCAGGAGCTCACCAATGTTCACATTTGACGCAGAAGATGCCACTCAACCTCGGATGCCAAACACCTTTGTAGAAAGTGA